TGGTTCTCCACTTTCATTTTCCATTTCAGTGACTGCCACTGTTCTCCCAATTTTTTGCATAATTCAAAGAGACCATGAGTTACATTTGATACTGCCTTTCCCCACATACCCACATTTACTGCATCACCAAATCCAAACATCTCTCAAATCCATTATACATCACAGCACCTGGTCCAAGCTGCTGGCCACCTAACTACTGGGTCTGTAGTTAGGAATGACCCCTTCCACAGGTTCAGTCTCTAAGTTGTTGCCAGTGTTATCCTTCTCAAACATAAATCTAAATATCTAATTTTACATGTTCTCTCCCTGGAGCTCTAGTTCCTCTTTGAGAGAAAGACAATTTTATACATAACTGCAAGGCACTTCACCTTACAGTGTACACCTTGTTCTGTCTCCAGCCACAGTAAATGTTCTTCTTTCAGTCCTTTGCACTTCCTCATTTCCTTCAGTTATAGAGCTTTCTGATGCCTAGAATGTTCTTTAATCCTTCTTTGCTTAGTTAATCCTCTCATTTCTTGGGTATCACTTCTTCAGGGATTCCTGCACTCAACTATCCAAGTAGGAGAGATTCCATAATTATAGACCAGCAGAGCAGCATGCTTTTCTTCCTCACGTCATTTGCGCAGTTGGAATTCCCTTTTACTAGATTTTAGCATTGTAAGAGTAGGAACTAAGTCTTACTGTATCCCCTATACCCAATTTAAAATCCATCATGCATTAGATGCTCTGTAAATATTTATTGAATCATGTTTTGTTCTATATCTCTCATATTTACAGAAGAATTTTACCCCTTTTTCTCATTTTTGCTTCTCTTTTCTCACTTATTTGCTTTAAAACAAGTATTCTAAACTCAAATGCCTATAAGGGCTTTGATACTATCTTAGGGAATAGTAGTGATTGTGAATCACACACCACAAGTCTTAAGACAGTCATATTAACTCAGCTCCAATGAAAAACATAGGAAATCGTGATTTTTCAAGAGAATTCAGGAATTTCTAATTTTACATTTATTCATTTTATGTGTGTGCATGCACGTGAAGGTCTAAGAACAATTTGTATCAGTCAGTTCTCTTCTTCCACCATGTGGATTCCAGGGATAAAACTTAGGTCAGCAGGCTTGGAACACTTTTACTCACTGAGCCATCTTGATGGCCCAGAAGTTTATATTTCTTAAAATGTGAAATCTGGTAACCCTAACACATGGGAAGTAGATGCAGGAGGATCAAGAGTTCAAGGTAAGTCTCAGTCAAATAGTGAGTTCCAGGCTAGCTTGGACTACATGAGATGGTCTCAAAAGTTAAATAAGAAATCTACTTTGTAAACAATGGGATTCAAATATTATTTAAATATTGTACCCTAATACTGAATAAGCTGGACAAAATATTTGTGTGGGTCAACCCCAACCCTCCTCTCTTTTCTGTCGAATCTGTATTATCTTTCTTAAAGGAATAAGACAAGCAAGTAAAGTATTTATGATTTTCATATAACAAACTGTAGTAGTTTCATTTCCTGTTTCTCTAATAAAATACTCTGGCGAAAGCAATTTAAGGTAGGAAGTGTTTATTTTAGCTCACAGCTCCAATGTTCCCATCCCTCTCAGCAAGGAAGTCACAGCCGCAGGAGCGTAGGGGAGTTGGCCACATCACATCCGTAATCAGGAACACAGAGCGATGAATGTGTGCATGCTTTAATCAGCTCTCTCCGCCTTCCACTCAAGGCCCAGCCCATGGAATGGTGCTGCCCACTTTCAGGGAAGGTCTTGCCACCTCGATTAACCCAATTTAGAAAATCCCTCATGGCCAACCTAATCTAAACAATTCCTCATTGAAACTCTCTTCCAGGTGATTCTAGATTGTGTCCAGTTGACAAGAAAAACTAATCATCACATAAACCTTAATTACATTCAATACTTGTCAGTGTTAGTTAAAACAAAGCCTGAGCACTTTATAGATTTCATCCCAAATCTGACCGGAAATAAAGGAAGTACCATAGAGCATGGTATATACCATCAACATCTGCCTTCTGCTACACTGTAGATTATGTCAGACACCATTTCACATTTATTTTAGGGAAATTTTGCATGTCCCTCATCTACTTTCTGGAATAAAATGTGGTTGGTATTTTAAGTCTATATGTTCTCACTTTTTATAATTCAGTTGAATTATGGCTGTCATGTTTATTAGCATATTAACCACACTATACAATTTGGTTTTCCAGACTTCAGTCCCTCACAGTGTAAAAATACTTAAGTAGTATTTTCTTATGATCTTTGCTAGTTCCTCTACTACTGTGTATGGCTTCCCAACTGCTAATTCAATCATTTGAACTGCTTTGAGATGATATAGTATATTTAAGCAGCATATGAATTTTTCTTCCTTTGCAGCCTCATTTTAAGTTCTTTTGTTGGTCAGGAACTGCCTTATTTCCTTCCATTTTCTGAGACTTTCTACAGAACAGAAAGTTCAAGACTTAGTTTCTAATTGGTATTTTTGAAAGATATGTTTTGAAAGAAATAGAACATTTAATAGCAGAACTGATAGAATAACTCAAGTCTGAGTAGACAGACATGAATGCTTAGTAGCAGTGAGTAGAAAAACAGGAACGGTGGTATGAACACCTGGGAGCAGTATGTCTCTTGAGATGAGTAAACAGGATAGAGTCATTTGCAGTTAAAGGTACCTACTTCCAAAGTAAGTTGTGGATTTTCCAGATTTGTCAAGTAGAGACTGTCAGAATACAGTTAGAACATTGATACAGAGGAGTGGTGTGGTTAAGAACTTAACAGTAAGTCCTATTCCTTAGACCCTTGCTAACTGACCTGGAAACGTTTACTTAATCTTTGCATCATTAGTCTCCCATGTATAAAGTGGAGCTAATTGTATCTGTCTCATAGGGTTATAAAGATTAAGTAAAATACTGTTTTGAAAATACTGAAAGTATGCCAGGCATGATGGTACATATCTGTAATTCCAGTACTCAGGAGGCAGAGGCAGGCAGAACTCATCTACATAGGGAGTTCCAGGCCAGCTGAGGCTATAGCTACCTGAAACCCTGTCTCAAAAAATAAAAAATAATACAATACTGAAAGTAGTAAGTAACAGAATGTAGTCATTCTCAAATGCTACCCACTGGTATTTTAGCTAAAGGGAAAAATCGTAGGTGGTAGGGAGGCCGTTGAAGAAGAGAGCATCGCTAAAATTAACATTTCTTTCTATCTGGCTTCTTTCTTGCAGTAAACTTTGAACAGCAGTCACTTTTCCAATCAATGATAATGTTTGTGTTGCCATTTTTTCCTTACTGTATGATCAAGATAGGTTTGTAGGTAACCCCATTTTTCAGATGATGAACTTAAGGTAATAAATTTACAGCAAACCATATTAGAAATTGGAAGAGTTGGAAATCAGGTCTTTTGACTACACTAATGCTTTTTTATCGACTATGGCATTATCAGGTTTTAAGCTAATGTTAGTAATTATTAGTATTCATATCCTAATCATATTTCCCTTGAGAAATCAAAAAGAGGACAAGAGAGATGGCTTAGCAGGTCAGGATACCTTGCTGCCAAGGCCATTGAGTTCAGTCCCCAAGACCCACATGGAAGAAGGAGAGAACCGGTTTCCACAAATTGTCCACCACATAATGTTGATAATGTGTGTCTGTGTATATGTGTACATGCACACACCCACAAATGCATATATAGAATAAAAAAATTCTGAAGAGAGATAAATAAACAGCACTCCTTCTTCACTCTATTCCAGGAAACCCATTACTATTTCTGATACATTCTGCCCCCTTTTTCCCACTTTTATCATTCAGACTGATGTCATGTAATGAATATAGCTCTGTGTCTTTACAAAAAAGTAATTCTACCATCTTTTTACTTTAAAAGTGTGAAGAACTTTTGGTTTTTTTAGTATAGTAGGATCATCCATGATCCTTTAAAACAAATTTTTTTAAATTTATGTGTATGAATGTTTTGCATGTATGTATGTAAATGCAGGACATGCATGCCTGCAGAGGCCAGAAGAGGGAACTGGAGTCAGGGGCAGTTGTTAGCTACCATGTGGGTACTGGGAACCATATCCAGGTCCTCTGCAAGAACAGCAACTGCTCCCAACTGCTAAGCCATCTCTCCAGCCACTGAAGAACCTGTAAAGCAATAATACACTGTGGAATATTTGACATTGGAAAACTTTTTAAAGGACAAAAGAGTTCCAGCAAAATTTTATTTAAAAAGTGTATGTGTATATATACATATATAGACCAGGCTGGCCTTGAACTCACAGAGATCCACCTGCCTCTGCCTCCTGAGTGCTGGGATTAAAGATGTGCACCACCACGCCCAGTTTAGAAGTATAAATCTTTAATCTTGGTTCAGAAATAAATTTGGAGTATTCCTTAAGTATAGGACACATTTACATCTTCAGTAAACTTTCTATTTATAGCAGAGGTGCTTAATTATTTGTTGAGTGATTAAATTTGTAAACTAGAGTGGATTGTGAATAGAAAGTGGTGAATGTTTATGAGAAGGAGGGGTTGGATTGCAGGGTATTTTAAGTATTTTATTTTATTTTTGGTCTTTTTGAAACAAGGTCTCCCTGTAGCTCTAGCTGGCCTGGAATTCATTACGTAGACCAGGCTGGCCTTGAACTGACAGAGATCCACCTGCCTCTGCATCCCAAGTGCTGGGACCACAGGCGCACGCCACCACACTTGGCTTTTTTTTTTACTTATTTTTATTTTATGTATATGAGTGTATTGCCCGCGTGTGTATAAGTGCACCCGTGTTGTGTAATGCCGCGGAGGTCAAAAGAAGGCTTCAGACTCCCCTGGAACTGGAATTAAGGACAGTTCTTAGTCACCGTGTGGGTCCTGGGACTCAAACCCAGGTCTTCTGCAAGAGCAATCAGTGCTCTTAACTGCCAAGCCATCTCTCCAGCCCCCCTCCATTTGTTTGTTCCTTTGTTTCTTTTTTTTTTTTTTTTTTTTTTTTTTTTGCTTCACTTGGACTCAAAGTTATCAACAGTCACTAGGTGGTAAACTCTGTTGAGGAAAAATCTTAACATCATTGTAGTTGCTTATTATGCCTGCCTCTACCTCCCAAGTGCTGGGACTAAAAACATGCGCCACCACGCCCTGCTGTAGTTGCTTATTCTTTAATGACATAAAAAGTCTAAAGCAATACACAAGGTGCTAAACTGTTTCTGGGTCATTACATTTTACTAAATGATATGATTTCCACTATATTTTCTTGGGCATGTTAATTGTGCAGATCTGAAATGACTAATAGCTAGTAGCTGTCACTGATGACATTAGCATTAACGAAACAGTATTTGTCACATTGGAAAACTAATTAGGAAATTGGCTTTGCTTTTTCTCTTATTTCTGTTCTTTCCTAGAACACCTAACATCGAGATTTTGGACCTCCTATATATTGATATCTCTCTCTCTCTCTCTCTCTCTCTCTCTCTCTCTCTCTCGTTTTCCCATCTGTCTTTTTGCTCTACTTTTAGGGAGAAATTTCCTTGCCTTCCAGACCTTCTCGACGTTTTCATTTCTCCCAGAATACTTTGTTTTCATGAGTTCTTTTTTCTTTTTGATTCTTTTTTTAGTAGCAACTTGTATTTAATGAATGAAATATCTCTCTGAGACTAATGATAGTTTTTGTTTGCTTGGTGTTTGCTTTCAGTATTGTTTTCTTTTTTTTCTCCTCAATATCCATCTTTTTTTTAATTTTTATTTTATGTATATTCCCTGCATGTGTGTAAGTGCACTAGTGTCGTTCAGTGCCCACAGAGATCAGAAGGTGGCATCAGATTCCCCTGGAACTGGAGTTACAGATGACTGTTAGCTGCCATGTGGGTGCTGGGAATCAAACCCAGGTCCTCTGTAAGAGCAGTCAGTACTTTTAACCACTGAGCCATGTCTCCAGCCCTTGATGTACATCTTATTAAAGACTTTGGTGCTCTCTGGTTCTATAGCTGGCTATTCATAATAGGGAAACAGCATGTGGGTAAGGCATGTCCACTTACAGCTGTGTGAGGGAAGCTGAATGAGTCACCTGTAAGGGAATCCCTGATGCAGGGCTTAGGAGCTTAGAACTTGCCTTTTCCAGTTGATCAGATTCCTCAGAGAAAATACAGTGTAATCATTCAGATAATCAGTAAGTCTCCTCAAGCATTTTGAGAACAGTGAAGCAGGAAAGCTAGAGTAGGGGAGAATACCTCTGCCTGGTGTACAATCTTAATCTTCCTGTTTCCAGTCAGTGCGCAAAAGTCAGCTGTGCCTAGTACTTAACTTTGATACATCAAGACAGAAGCTTTTGGTAACTTCTTCAGAGAACAAATACCCAGATATCTCTCGGGTTGAAGAAGGTGTTTTCCTAAGAGTATGGACTAGAGAGTAAGACCTGGATTAAACTCTCAACCCAGTGTTGTTTCTCCTGTTTTATCAGTGTTACCTGGTTCTTGTGGTTCCTGTACCTTTTGAAAATTTTGAAACTTTCATCATGCCGGTTCTTAACCTCCTCACCCCTAGCTTGACATTAATCCGTCTTGGGTAGTCATACAGGAATCTCCAAGACCACTCTAAGCCTTAGTGTTTTCTAGAAAGACCCACAGTTTTTGCTCCTGGTTATAGTTTATGCAGTAAAAGGATACAGAGTAAAATCAGTCAAGGAGAAAGTTATTTGTAAAGTCTTGAGTGAACTCCACAAAGCATTGCAGTTCTTTCCTAGTGGAGTTTGAGAAGGTGTGCTTGAATTCATTCAGCAATAAGTTGTGATACCTGTGAAGTGCTGTGTAGCAAGGGACATCAGTAGAAACACCATGCCCCTTTTTTGTTTTGTTTTTTTGTTTTCATTTTTTTTTTGTTTATTTGTTCATTTGTTTTGCTAGGGATTGGTCATGTAGGCAGCTTCTACCTAACATGCACTAAAATTCCAGGCTCTCAGAAAGAAATTGGGTATTAAATATAAATCGTATTGTTTGTACAATTTAAATACAGTGAAACACCCTGATCTTATAGGAAATGGTAGGGATTTGGAAATCTCAGTTTCCAAATGCTAGCATGAGCCAAATTTACAAACAAACTTTCTAAGGATAGCAGTGTATAACTCTATACATGCACACAGGCACTCATGCACCTGCTTTCTGGACTCCAGCATTTTGTTGGGTTCTTCCCCATTCTTCTCAAACTCATGGGTTTATGCTTCTTATGAAGCCCCTTTGACTGTTGTTTTAGTAGCATTTTCAAGTAGGAACAATATAAATATATTCAGTGTTCGTCTGTTCATTGTTAACACCTTAATTTGATTATATAAAATGATTTTAAGCAACTTTGAAGAAAACCAAAGCAGAGAAAGGAAACTTTAAGAAAAACAACTCGTATAAACTCAAAACAAGTGTGACAGCATGCACAAAAACCTATGCAACCTCAAGTCAGACAAAACTCTTGCCTTGAGGAGGGGAGGTGGGCAAGAAGCCCCCAACCCTAGCCGAGGAACTATTGGCAACTGACAGCTGCTGGTAGAGGAACAGTCAGCTTTCTTTAAGGATATGACACTGAGTAGGATGAGTGAAGAGTCTAGGGGATGGACCCACACTGAAGCAAAGAACATTTGACACAAATTAGATTTGATAGGCCTTAAAAAAATAATAGAGGACATGAAATGGAGCAGGGGTTAGTAAGGTTAGGGGATCTGAAGATGATCAAAATATATGAAATTCTTCAAAAAATTAATAAAATTGTTTTTAAAGGAAAACAGTTGAGTATTATCCCAGATTCCTAAAAGAGATGCAAGAAGACATTATATCCTAGAAACAGGAAAAAATACTTAAAGATGAAAGCTCTTAGAAATTAAATATATGATAGACTTTGAAAGAGAACATCTAAGGGAAAGTATTCAAACTATAGCTAAAGCAGCTAAAACCTCACATTTCAATGTAGCCAGCAGCATAGGTAAGCTTGGGATTGATGCCTCATTCTTCACAGGAACCAAAGAAGTTGAGGTAGAATCTGTAGGTAACAGCTTCTGTGAAAGTAATCTACATAGTTGGCTATGTATGCCTAGTTATTCACCATGGAGAAAACGATATGTTTATTTGATTCATTTTAGTATGAATTCTAAATTTTGTACAGAAAGTTTTCTCCAGTAAATTTTCTCTTTCAAATCAACAAAAATGAAAAATTCATTTCACAAAAATTATCCCCACAGAAAACTGCTTGTTCTATAAGTATTTCAACACTTACCATCTTAAAAGCAACATGGTCTACATGCCATGAAGGTCTATAAATAATATGAACTTGCAGTGTAAATTCTCCTAGACCGTGCAGCAGGGTAAAACAGAATACCCTAAATTTGGTGTGAACGAGCTTATAAATAACAAAGCCCCTCCCCCATTTCAGGCTTCTCCCTTGTAGCATACCTTGCTGCATGTACAGAAAACACCTGACCCCTCACAGTGTAGCCCTATGGATTGGAGCCTGGAGATGATGTAAGGCCCTGCCGGTGAGGCTGCTTTTGCCATGAGTATTAAGGGACTTTCTGCTATGACCCAGGAGTCTTAAATGATATAAAATTGTTAGGCATTTTTGATATTACTGTATTTTGACTCAGGTTATGTCCTACTAGATGTCTTGTTATAGTCATCTAGTAAATGACTGAAATCTACTAATATCAGATTGTTTATAATCTTCCTACCACAGAAATAGGATTTAAGCACCTGGTTATATTTATATAATGCAAGGGAACATATTCTGCAAGTACAGGTTGGTAACTGACCTGTAATTCTTTTTTTATCCAACTCAACTCCCTCTTAACACCCATTATTCCATGGCCTGTAATATTACAAATTACCCTTCTCACCCTGTCCCCAGTTTCTTGAAATGATCCTTTTAAATGCCTACACTGAAAATATGGCTGTTCCCAGCTGGCACTTCATGCCTTTTGTGGAAGGAAGACAGTCAACCCATTTTATGCCTCCCAGTATTCTTTACTGATGTTATGCCAGCATCTCGTTTCTGAAGTCTGTGCTATTTGATTAAATCATCATTGAATATAACAACTGTACCTCCCTGGATGAATCAGCACTTTCTTGTCTCCTGTGATGTATGACCATTTCCAAAGTCCATATTGATAACCTACCCAAAGTCTTACTGAGCGGTTTCCTAGAACTCTGAAGTCCTCCATTTCTACATGAGCTATCCATTAGCATGGCCACATCTCAAAGCAGTTCTTTAAAATGGAGCTTTCCTTTCTGACCAATGTCTTTTCTCCTAGATATTGTCAACTCACCCTTTTGTCTGTTTTTCACCCTTATCCTTTCGGTCATTTTACCCTTTCTCTCCCCACTTCATTTTATTTCTCATCTCTTGACATTTTGCTATGTCAAACTAGTTCACTCAGCAGAATAAATTCTTACTCTAAAATAGTTTCCACATTTTACAGTTCTGAATTAATACATGAAAAAATGCAGTCTCATTAAATTTAAGCTTTCTAGAACATCTATTTTTCCCTATTAGATTATCTGTTTTTTAAAATATTTTATTTATTTTTATTTTATGTGTATGAGTATATTGTCTGCATGTATGTGAGTGCACCCATGTCGTGCAATGCTAGCGGAGGTCAGAAGAGAGCTTCGGATTCCCCTGGAACTGGAGTTTAGGGCAGTTCACAGCCACCAAGTAGGTGCTGGGACTCAAACCCCAGTCCTCTGCAAGAGCAGTCATTGCTCTTAACCGCTGAGCCATCTCTCCAGCCCCAGATTATCTCAGTTTTAAAATCAACCAACCTGGGGCTGGAGAGATGGCTCAGTAGTTAAGAGCACTGGCTGCTCTTGCAGAGGACCCAGCACCCATATGTCAGCTAAGAACCATTTGTAACTCCAGTTCCAGGGGTATCTGATGCCCTCTTTTGACATCCAAGGGCATTGCACAACAGGGTGCACTTACATACATGCAAGCAATATATTCATACACATAAAATAATTTTTTAAATCAACAAACCTTACTGGCTGTATCAACTATCGACTGCATCTTAATATATTATTTTATAATACTTCTATTTGTGCTTTCCATGTTCTATGTGCTTAAATCGCCTATCTTTTCCCAGAAGATGACCTTGCCTGATACTTTAGTAGAAAAATAAAGTGGAATTCACTTGCCAAATTGTCTGATCCACAGTATCATTTTTTTCTTTTTAAATTACATTTACTAATTTATTTGTATGTGGATGTGTGTATGTATATATATGGATGCTCGTGTGTGGAAGTCAAACAACAAGTTGTGTAAGTTTGTTCTCTTCTTCCACTATGTAGGTCCTGGGGATGGGACTCAGGTCATCAAACTTAGCAACAAGCACCTTTACCTACCGAGCCATCTGGCCCTTTCCAGCCCCAAATTTTCTTACTAAAGAGATGGTTTGTAAATTAAATGTTCCGTGTAGACCTTCAAGTTTTTCTTCCCTCTTAACACAAAACTCTATGTGTTGCTTCCCACAGCCGATTTGTTTTTGCCAGAGCCAGTTTCTTTAAAGGTTGATTTTTTTTTCCCCTTTCTTCTCCCTCTCCTCCATGCCTCACCCTTTCTATTTAGTCCGTTTCTAGACAGTACAAAAACTGTTAAGGGCCTTTTTTTTAATGTGTATGCATTTATTGTCTGCATGTAAGTGCACCCATGTCATGCAATGCCTGCAGAGGACAGAAGGAGGTGTCAGATCCCCTAGAACTGGAGTTATGAATGGTTGTTAGCCGCCTTATGGGTGCTGGGATTGGAACCCAAATCTTCTGCAAGAGCAGCCAGTGCTCTTAACCGCTGAGCCATCTCTCCAGCCCCAGGGTCTTTTTACTTGAAATTGAACAGGTTATCCTGTCAGTTCTGTATGCTATGCCCAAAGGAAACATAAGACTCCTGGTTCATAGCAGAAAGTCCCTTAATACTCATGGCAAAAGCAGCCTCACTGGCAGGGCCTTACACCAGTCTCCAGGCTCCAATCTGTAGGGCTACACTGTGAGGGTCATGTGTTTTCTGCACATGCAGCAAGGTAATACTACAAGGGAGAAGGCTGAAATGGGGGAGGGGGCGGGCAAAGAGACATATTTTCTCTTGAATGGAAGCAGAATGCCATCAGAGAGAGATTGGAAAAGAATATTCTACCAGTCAGGAAATAAATCTTCCCTGACCTTAAGGTTAAACACTCTGTCTGCCTTTCTAAGGTGTTTACTATGCAGATTCATTACTCAGAATTCCAGACCATGAAAAAAGTGTGAGATCTTCATGGAGAATTATCTCCTGGCACAAGTTATCCTGATTCTTTCAACTTCAGATATCCGTTCTCCCTGCCTCTGTTGTGCTTCATGTAAATCCTTGACTCCTGCTTATCGTCCTACTGAAAACTTTTCTTTGCGAGGTATAGGTGGCATACCAGTCACCCAGCCAAATGATATTAATCATCTTTTTATTTGTGGAATTTTACAAGGGCTCTACATCCCAATAGCGCTAAACTACCAGGCTGTTTTCCACAAGTGTTCTAACTCCACTTCCTCCTTGGTTTTGCTTCTCTTCTTGTGCTTTCTGAATCCCGACTGTTAAATGTGAAGATACACAGACTGATGTCTCATCTTTGTTCTTCAAACACCTGCTACTAGAATTTCAGTTGTCACCTCTGCCGTGTCTGTACTTTCCTTTTTTTTTTTTCTTTTTGAGACAAAGTTTCCCTGTAGCCCCAGCTGGCCTGGAACTTGTTATGTAGACCAGGCTGACCTTGAAATCACAGAGATCCACCTGTCTCTGCCTCCCGTGTGCCACCACACTCGGCTTGTACTTGTCTTTTTTAAAAAGATTTTATTTTTGATTATGTGTATATGTATGGGTATGTACATGTGAGTCCAGGTGCCCACAGAGGCCAGGGGGTATTGGAACCCCCTGGAGCTGGAGTTATAAGCAGTTGTGAGGTGCCTGACATGATTGTTGGGAATGGAATTGGGTCCTCTGGAAGGAGGACAGCTGAACCATCTCTCCAGCCCTGTACTTCCCCCTTACATTCCAAAACTCACCTTCCATCTTTGTTTCTAATTGTAATAAACTTTTAAAAATAAGAATTAACCTCATAATCTGATTTTTACATTTTTCATTGGGAGACATTTCTTCTAATAGTTTTACATTCAAAACATGGGAATAGGGCCAGTGAGATAACTCAGAGTAGGCACTTGCTGCCAAGCCTGATGACCTGAATTCAGTCCCCAAAACCCACATAGTAGAACAAGAGAACTGACTCCCAAAAATTGTCCTCTGACATCCACACATATCCACACAAAAGAAATAAATGTAATTTTTAAAGTTAATTTTTCTTTTAACCTGGAAGTATAGTTTAGTAGATACACTCAAATTCAACTGTCTTTAATGGAATTCTTTGCCTCACTTCAGTTCATTTTCTGTGGTCTTCTAAGGCCCACTCAAACAGAATCATGTTAGAGTTTGTAGAGTTAAGGTCTGTTCCTCTAACATTTTATACAGAGCCTCTATGATTGGCTGATGGCTGGCCCTTCCAGGTTCAGTTTCTTCCGTCTTTCTTAACTCCCTCCGTACTACACCGTACCACCAAAGTATTTGCTTTGACCTGAATTCATTGTCCATTTTTTTCAATAGTTCCTGAAAACCTACTATGAATTAGGCATTATGCTAGGAACTGAAGCTATAAATCTAAATTATGGCTCTTCTTAAGAGTCAAGTAAATATGTAAAAGAATCCAAGGAGTGTGATTAATAATTTAAAGATATGAAATGATTTCTCTTCCCTAAGGCACCCAACTTTACAATATTAAGGATGATATGTTGGTAGTCTTGAGGATAGTTGGAATTTGTTTATATGACCATGAAGCACATTTCAGGCAAAGTACAAATATGTACAGAGGCATGAAGGTATAAAATTGAACCCCTTATTGTAAAAGTTGTGTTTTGGAATGCCCAGATCAAGATTGAAGGCAGTATAAAACAGTACAAAGAAGTGGGGCTGCATAATAAAGACATTTCATATATTAAAGCTTGTGGACTTATTCTTGCAATGGTATAATCAGATTTTAAAAGTTTTTTACCATAATTCAGACAGGAATCATTTGTAGATATTAAAACTGTGGAAGTTTGAAGAATAAAATATTTTTACATAGTTTAAAAGTATGATTCTTATTGGTGACAATGTAGAAAGTAGTAAACAACAGTAGAAAAACACTACAGATACTACCTCAACCAGTTGATCAGAGATAACAACACAGTAATAGGACGAATCACAATCATGAGCCTACTGATGACCAGGATGCTCCATCATTTCTTGTGTTTTGTTTTGTTTTTAGACAGTCTCACCATGTAGTCCAGGCTAACCTGACCTCAGTCATTCTGCCTCTGCCTCCCAAATGTTAGGATTACAGGCATGTACCACCACACCAGTAAATGTGGATTGTTATTAAGTAGTCAAGAAATACTTAAATGAAATCAACAGGACACTGAGTTCCTACAATATTTTTATGCATAACATTTTGTATTTTCTTTCCATACCCTATTTCAATAGCCTTGTAACTGGTCTTCCCACTTACATTCTGTATTCTTCTTTATGTTAATACCAGATTAGTAAATCCCATACTTTGGAATATCTGAATAAGTAACTTCAATATCAATATCAAAGAAGCAGTCTTTAGCGAATACAGCCATAGTGAAGTAACAAATTCTACTTTAGGATAAAATATGAGCAATAAAACTTTAAGAGAGATGGCAAGCCACCCAGCATAGTATCTGGTTTGTAACAAAAGTTCGATACATATTGAAGCTAAAATAATTCTGTTGGATACTTAGTGGTAGAAATTTAAGCCTAAACAATGTTATTAATTCAGACATTTGGAGGTCTATTTTTGTTTCACAGTAATTCAACTAAAAACATTGGAGCTTTATTTGTAGTTGCATCAGTTGAAGCATAAATTCAAAACAAATTGAAGAATTCTGTATTACACATGTTTTCAAAACTTTCTTTTTATACTCTCTTTTTAGGTTATATGTAAAGTCAGATGTGCCACTGAACTTGACAAACACAAGTAAGTTTCATGAATGTGAAAATGTCTGTCTAAAAGATATAAAGCAGTAATTCATTAATATTAATGCTTAGTATCTAAAAGATCTAAGTACATACTTTGAACAGTAGATTGATGAATGTGAAAGGAAGGAGTTGTTGAGGGTACCTTTGCAGTTTTATAGAAAATTCGGTGGTTAGATTGGTTCAAAGGAAATAAATACAGCAGCTCACATTCTTTCCCTTCAACCATGATGCCAATTCACTAATTCATTCATGTTCTCTCCCCTCTCCTTCCCTTCTCCTACTCCCCCCCTCCCTACCACCTTCTCTCCCTCCCCTCCTCTCTTCTTCCCTCCTCCTATTCTTTCCCCCTTCTCCTCTTCCGACTTTTCCGCTCCCTTCCCCTTCCCCTCTCCTTTTCCTTCTCTCTTTTCCCCTCCGCCCTGTCTCTCTCTCTCTCTCCAGCCACCTTGCTTCAGGTGTTAGCTGTAGCTTTGTAGAGTACACATATGCAAAAGCTAGCTTATGCTGTTTGGGAGAATGTATAACAGAGTTTCAGGAACTAAACAGTGTTTCTGTGCTTATATATCTCAGTAGAATGAATAGTAAATGAGTCAAGAGATCAGGATTTTAAACCTAATTCTCCTACTCACTCAGTTTTTCTATTCGTTGGTTTCCTAAAGTACTATAATTTTCTAGATACATAATTTCAAGGTCCTTTGTATATTTAAAGCTATGTAGCTATTCTTTTTATTAGTCTAAAAGAATATTAAAATTTAACATTCTCCCCAAATGTGGCAGCCCATGCTGTAATCCTAACACTGGGGAGGCTGAAGCAGGACGATGGTGGCCTGCACTCACTGTGTAGACCAGGCTAGCCTCAAACTCACAAATATTCATATGCCTCTGCCTCCTGAGTGCTGGTATTAAAGGTATTTGCCATCATACCTGGCAAAAAAATAATGCTTTTCAAAAAATTTTGTGTGTGTGTGTGTGTGTGTTGAGTGTATTGCCTGCATGTATATAAGTGCACCCATGTTGTGCAATTCCCATGGAAGTCAGAGAGGGCATTGGATCCCCTGCAACTGGAGTTAAACTAGAGTTATGGACAGTTGATAGCCACCATGTGGGTGCCGCAAATCAAACCCAGATCCTCTGCAAGAGCAGCCTGTGCTCCTAACTCCTGAGCCACCTCTCCAGCCCAAATAATGCTTTTTTAATGTAACCTTTTCAAACTAATTTTTTTATTTCACTTGTATACTTAACAAAGCTTATCACCAATTACAAATTACCTTTGATTGATCTTCTGTAAATTACTTCCAAGAGCAGGTTATTTGTGATTTCCACTGTTGAAAGCAATCCAAGATAGAAGATGCTAGAAGGCAAAATAAATTCCTGGATCATATATACTTAATTTGTGGGTACAAATGTATTTGACTTGGGATTATCTTCACACAAAGCTGCTAACCGATAGTTGGTACAAATAGCCATACCTGACCTGGAGAGTTTTTATTATAAGGTGGTCTCATTTTTCTTAAGAGGAAGATACATACCTACTCTGTGCATAATAAACATGCACCTCAGTAGAAAGTGAAGTGGTGATGAGTGCTCGGGAACTATGTGTCCTGACTATGTTCTTTAGTCAAGTTGAAAGCACATGTTTGCTGTAGATAATCAGGAGCTAATAGGCTTGAACATTGTTTAAAACACATGTCCTGTATATCTTAAAATTAATACTGAGTGATGAAATTAAATTTGAGTGTAGCATTTTAATTTTCCAGGCAAATTTTTAAATCCTGATAATTATTAGAATGAGAAGGTCAGTGAAAGTATGCTTGATAGTTATAAAAATGAAAAATTCATGATTGCCCGAAATGATGTTAAAATGGTTCAATATTTTCTTCAGGTCCACATGACATGACAGTATTTCTCTGTTCATGTGGGATTCTTTCTAAAGTAATCCTTTAAAATCTGTGCCATTTTAAGTAAGCTCATAGCATCAGATAGACCAAGTACCTCTGAGAGATTATTAACTTTATAGTTAATGAAATTATAAGCATTTGAAGCTGAAAGAATTCTTGTATCTGAAATAACACACTAATTTCTCACTAGCTTTATAAACATCAAATAAACTTTTTTTTTCTTTCAGAATTCTACTGCATCTGGGCTTCATACTGGCAAGCCTTCTCTTTTTAGTGGTGAACTTGACTTGTGCAATGCTGGTCCATAGAGATGTCCCAGAAAGTCAGTTGAAATGGACTGTGTTTGTCCGTGCAGTAATTAATGATAGCTTGTTTATTCTTTGTGCCATCTCTTTAGTTAGTTACATATGCAAAATTACAAAAATGTCATCAGCAAATGTCTACCTCGAATCAAAGGTAGGTATATTTCTTAAATTTGCCTGAAAGTTAAATTTCAAGTCCTGATCCTATGAATCATATTTTAATGGGAAATTTTTGTTGCTTTTTTAGAAAGTACTCCGAAGGACAGCCACATTTTTTTTAGCATGAAAGAATAGTCCTAGCAATAAAAGGGTATTCATATTTTAGCTCTTGGGAAACATTGATTTAAGTATTTTTCTATGACTGCTTTGGAGGCTAGTTAGAGGAAATAAACCAGAATCACAAGCCAATCACAAATAGTCTCACAGGGGCTGGAGAGATGGCTCACCAGTTAAGAGGACTGGCTGCTCTTAGAGAGAACCTGAGTTCAGTTCCCAGCACCCACATGGCAGCTAACAACTGTCCTAACTCCAAGTTCAGGGAATCTGACACCCACTTCTGGCCTCAGTAGGCATTACACACATGTGGTACACTTACATACATGCACAGAAAATACTTATGCACATAAAAATAAATTTTTTTAGGAGCTGGAGAGATGGCTTAGCGGTTAAGAGCACCGATTGCTCTTGCAGAAGACCCAGGTTCGATTTCTGGCACCCACATGGCAGCTAACCACCATTCATAACTCCAGTTTAGGGGAGCTGGTAGCTTCTTCTGACCTTGGCAGGCATTGCACGATATGGGTTATACTTACACACATGCAGGCAATACACTCATATACATAAAATAGAAATAATAAAGTTTTTAAATACTTATAAAGCTGTAATAACTTAATATTTTGTCTAGTAAGAGTGACAGTATTGCCCTGAAACAGTTTTCCAGACTGTTAGACCCATGGGTTAGCAGTATAAATAGTCATGAAGATAAAATAGTGCCTATTTGTGTGAAGGTTTAGAAGTGTTATTTTACTCTATATTATGAAGCCTGTATGATATTTGAAAAAGTTAGTCATGCCTTGCTTTTCTTTTCCTTGTTTAGAAAAATAAGGCATTGTTAACTCATCAACAGATAGCCATGGAAGTTTCTACTGTTGATAACTGACACAATCATTGCATAGGGAATGTTTCATCACAATAACTACATGACATTGAGTGTGGAGATGTAGATATGTGGATGTTGGGGGATGCATAGATACACACCCAGACTTTCACAGTCACTTGCCCAGAAGAGCCTTATTTAATTTGGCATCATTGCCTGTTCACTAAATATATAGAATAAAGTAATTTGAACAGAACACTTCTCTGAAATATTTTTAGACTTCTATGTTGTTGTTATTCTTAACATAGTTCTAGTAAAGTACTATAATTAAATATATGGTAATCAACTTGTCCTTTAAATTTAGGTGGAGATTTTAATTTTACCTTTTAAATTTATTTTCAGTAAAATGCTGGAGAAAAAAATACATATCAAGACAGGAAAGAGGAGGGCAGGGAGAGTTGGACTTTCAAATGTATTGGTCAAACCTGGAAAGTTATTTCATTCAACTTTTATTCTAAAGAGGTCTGAAAATGTATGTATTTAATTAATTCTGGCTTCCAGGTTGACTCTTAAGACCATTACTATCAGTGTTATGGTACATAATCTTTGTTGGCGTCTTAGAATAACATCACTATAGAATTTATGCCTCTTGGTTATCTGATGCTAAAACACCAATAGATGTGGTTGAATCTAAAGTACTTCTTCTCCAGCGCTCTAGTAGTTTTCTGTTTGGTTTTACTTGCTTTAGAGTCGATACTATTCCAATGGCAGTTGTTAGTCTGAAAGGTAAGGATCATCTGATAAGTCGTCCAGAATTATACTTCAAACATCTTTTCATTTCTGTCAGGTAAAAGGCATTCACTTTTTATTACATTAATTTAAAAGTCTTAAATTTAAAAGCTGTATGGATTCATGGCTACACTACAGAAAGAAATGTTCAAATACATACCTTTAAGGTAGATGAGATATCTGATTATTTGTATTATACTGTTAGCAGTTCTTAACCCCTGTATGAAGTTCTGCGTTCAAACAGCTTGTCATCTTTCACGTTCTCCTTGTAAAATCTAGACTTACTCTGTGGGGATTTTTTTTCGCTCTTGTAACAATATACAGTGATGACCATTTCTTTTATTCAGTCAATGAGTATTTATTGAACCTCCACCTTTCCAATTTCAAGTCAGCCCTCTTTTTTGCCATCCCTAAGCATGTTTCTTTAAGGCTCAGACTTTTTCATTATCCTTTTTATTCTTCCTCCTTTCCATACTTTATGGTAACAATCTCTCGGCTAAATCTTACGGACCTTATTTTCAGACGATACCCAGTGTGCCTCCCGTCTCTACATTGGTGAACTGTTACATCATCCAGAATTGCCTTTCCCCTTCTGGTGCTTTCTTCCTGGGTATCCCATCTCTTACCCACCCTTAAAGACCTAACTTAATTCCATCTCTTCTCTCAATGTCCAAAATGAAAAACAGAAAAAGTTTAATTGTCATAAAACTTTGTGTAACCCCTGGAACTCTTCTCACTTTACTAGACAGCATTTGTGTTACATAGTCCAATTTTCCCGACTAAAGTCTGAGCTCTTAGAAGGAGAGTCACTGATTATTTGAATCTTCTCAGCGCTTCATACTTGGAGGTTTGTGACTCTCATTTGAATAAGGACCTACAAGCTTGTACTTCTGTCCAACTGTCCAACTCTCACTTCAGCTGCACTGTCTTTTGGAGCTCCCCACCAGCTTGAACACTCATGTAGTCCTACATGCGACCTGGGCCTCTGTGTCTTCCATTGATTCCAACCCAAATTTGTAGTACTCTAATGTTCCTTCATTCCTTATTTCCTAAAATTAATGCCTGCCAACTTTTTGTTTAAAAAGTTCTATTTTTCTCCATTTGAGAAGCTCATTTAAAAAATGAACCTAATAAACTTAATTATCCATATCACCTCTGAACCAGGTAGTTGTTTTACACATGATCTCATTTTCTGATTGCTTTGTACATTATCTCAAAAAAATTCATCTCTGTGATATTGTCATATAATAAAACATACGTATTTGGTTTCTGCCCTGGTTCCTCGTACACAGCAATTAGAACCTTTGGAATTTTCAAGAATGTGTCTTTTGTATTAGTAAGATGGTAGGTAGCTTGGAGCCCCTAGAGGACTTCTTGGTGGGGACCAGAAAGACCAAGGCATGATTAAAAGGATTCGGACTTTCAGCCTCACTCTAACCACCAACCTTTGGGAAGGGGACAGAACTAAAGGCTGTATTGCTCACCAGTGGTCAGTGATGTCATCAGTCAGACTTGTGCAGTAAAGCTCCATAAGGATGAGTTTCAAGGAGTTTCCTATTGCGAGTGTGTAGATCTATTTGGAAGGTGGCAGGAAAGGGCGCAGAAGCACTGCAGCCCCTTTCTCTATGCCTTTCCCCTCTGCATTTCCCCATCTTGTTGCTTATCTGTATCCTTTGTTACAAACCTTTATAAATAAATCAGTAAACATACTTGCCTGAGTTCTCTGAGCTGTCCTGGAAAATTAACTCAAGAGGGAGCTGGAGAGATGACTCAGCAGTTAAGAGCACTAGCTGCTCTTGCAAAGGACCTAGGTTCAATTCCCAGCACCCATATGGCAAATAACAACCATCCTTAACTCCAGTTACAAGGGTATTCAGCACCCTCTTTTGACCTCTTCAGGCATTGCACAACACAGGTGCACTTACATACATCCAGGCAGTACACTCATACACATTAAATAAATAAATAATTTTAAAAAATGTTTTTACAGATTGAAATTAACCCAAGCAAAGGGAGTCTTTGGAAGCCCAGATTTACAGCCAGTTGTTCAGAACTGTACAGGTGACAAAACACTGCTTGTATTTGGCATCTGAAAATGCAGTCTTGTAAGACTAAGCCCTCAACCTATAGGATCTGGTGCTATTTTCAAGTACATAAAGTCATAATTGAATTATAGGGCATTTGTTGCTGTCTTGTGGAAAATTGGTTGGTGGGAAGAAATGCCAGCACACATTGACAACTAGAGGGTAAAATGCTGTGTTGAACAATGAGTGGCATCCAAGAGTTGAGAGCGAGGAAAGGACATGTTTCTAGTTTTATTCTTATTCGTGTTAAAAACAAACAAAACCCCACAAGGATACAGAGTAGACCCTAAGAGGCAGGGGCAGTGTGACTTGTAAGTCCTTGTGCGACTTGGCTCTTGCCTAGCTTTCTAATTTCTGTCACTACCACTCTCCTCTTCCTGCTTTGAGAGCATGGGCTTTTTGTGTCTCAGTCTGTCTCTTAAATTTTATATTTCTGTTATGATATTATTTGAAATGTTATTGAACCTATGGAGCTGCGGATGTAGCTCATTTGGTAGAGTGCTCAACTACCAATACTCAAAGCCCTGAGGTTGATCGCCAGCACAGCATAAAACTGGGCATGGTGGCACATGCCTGTAATCTCAGACCTCGGGAAGTGGAGGAAAGAGAAGTGGAAATTCAAGGTCTTCCTTAGAGGACAGCCTGGGCTATGTGAGACCCTGTCTTAAGAACATATAACCAAATGTTAGAGTTGAAGTAAAACTAAACAACTTCTTTCTTGTCAGGTTTTAGAATATAAACATATTTGTCTCATAAACATTGGTAACACAGTATACAGTAAAAGTAGGAATAATTCAAGCTCCAGGTTAATTCTGCCTAGGTCTAATTCAGAGCTCTGCCATCTTACTAACTCAGACTTTAACCTCTCTGTATATGTTTAAACTGGAGATAAATATAGTAACTATCTCCATAATAGTGACACAAGGATAAAATGGTAATGTGTAGAAAATCATAGCATTCTTCCCAGCACTAAAAATGTAAATGTTAGCTAGTATTATCTTTATCGTTGTATTTTGGTAATTTATAGAATAACTGTATTAGAAAATTCAGACAGATTCTTCTGATAACCATTTGGGGAAATGTAATTTTTTGGTTTGGTAATTTTTGTATTGCTTTTGTTTATTAACCAGTTTGTTTTCCATTGGATGTACAGTCCTCAGTTTTGTGGACAGTTAGCCATTTTAA